ACCATATATGCATTCTGAAACTTTCACTGATATACGACACTTCAAGAATTGCAATTACATTTTGATAAATTAAATCGTGAAAGAAAAAACTAGAGTGTCGTGATAATTAACATCATATGATATGACAGAAATACAAGTAATCAATCGATAATCAACATGAATCAGTAAAACACTCCTAGATTATACTATCATCATTAATTAGATATATAACACTTGTTAATTTCATTTCCAGATTGTATGCATCAGTACTTCTGATGATTTTGCCGGAGAGCATTTGAGGCTCTTTAGATTTTGCAATCTATTGATCATTTTTATCAGTTCTGACAGTAAGTTTTTTTTAGCAGTGAGCAGTATTTTATGGATAATTTAAATTGAAATAGAAGAGTGCTTATTATGATGCTTTCAATTTTGTTTTAAATAAACAATCTATTTATCAAATTTGCAAAACGAATAGAAAAAGTAGATTATTGAAAGTAAATGCAAAAATAGTTATATAAGATGGCTGATATTTGATCAAGTCAAGTAATGCTTACGTAAAACTGTAACACGGGTTCATTTATGTTACAAAATTCATTGCAAAATTGATTGAAAGATTGATTGAGACGTGTAACTGGATCATATAATGTAATATTGTTTTCAGCCAAGTGTAGCACCTATAATTGTACTATATTTTGAGGATATGAAATGCGTGTTGCTTTTATTTCATTTTTTTTTTCTTCAATATTACCCATCAAAAGTACTGTTGAAGATCATTTGAGGTGTTGATTAGGATGTATTATCAATAGAATAGAACACTGTGATAATATTGAACCCACCTCTATCGTATCATTAAGATGGCTTGGTCGAAGCATAGAATTACCATCTTTGGCTATAATATACAATGATGTGGATACAGACAAACCACGTCCTGAGAAGAAGTTCAAATATTTCTTGTATTCAATGCGAGAGCGTGCTTCGAATGGTGAATAACCTTCTAGATTATTGCCTTGCCTACAATAGTAGCATGATTTCCTGGGAATAATTTCATAGACAATAATTTCCCGATCATAATTTCCTGGGTATAATTCCTCAATTATCCTTCAAGAGATTTTGCATGAAATATACCGTACTTCCAAACTTTCCCATCTTCATTTCAACCGAAATGGTGTTGTCGTTTGATGTTAATTTTCGATAGAGTATAATAAGCTAAAGAACTAACGGTGTCAAAGATATTTTGATAATTGCAAGCACTGAAAGCACTAGGCAAGAGATCATAGCAGGCCAAGCATATCGAGTGATCCAGAAACCCCATTTACCGTACACGTTGATAATGAATTTCACAAATCTGAAATGGTAATCAATTGTACTCGATGATATTGCAGCTTGTTTGTTTCATTAACTTAATGATGATTTGAAAGGTAAAGTGAAGCCGAACAAACTTTGGTTCTTTTTCTCCTGACTCTTCGAGGAGTTGTATAGAACGCCTTCCTACTAGCATACTTGATCGTTGATTTCTGTGAGAATATGACGGAAGCGTGGAAAGATGTGCTTGAAAATGCGTCCATGAGTTATCATTATTGATATCAGAATAGCCTGGTACACTGATATTTGCCTTCATACTCCATGGAAGGTCTGCAAATAATTTAAATATAGCAAATTTTCCCTTCTTTACGAATAATTTCAAATAAAATTTTAATGTATGTATGTTCAAATAAAGATTATAATAATAATTAAATGCTATCTTTTTCATTTTCATTACTAGCCTTCTGATCCTCGGAATTATCCCAACTGTACAGCTGCCATTATTTTGCGATGTCGCGAGACCGCAAAATATAATTGAAATGCAAATTGTTTTATTTTATATTAATGCAAAAAACCCACCTATATAGATTCTTTCAGCAAATTTTGACATGAGCTTTGATGTTACTGTGAATGATATTCTTAGCCTGTCAAAAGGAAATTATGAGTTATGATATCAATAATAATGTTTACATAATGAGTAGGTGATAAAGTTCGGGAATAATTTGGATGATAATAGCAAATAATCATGGAGTATTGAATGAGGGAGCGCGATTCATACGGAAACAGAATCTCTTTTCAGTGAAACCAAAATTTGTAAATTTTGATAATGCATTGGATGGTTTAGAAGGAATTCCGCGAGTTATATACATTTTAAAAAGTATTGAAAATCTCAGGGAGAATTACTGAAGCATTTTTGAATTATGATAAAGAATGCATTATTTTGATGGGTAAAAATTATGGCGAACAAAATTAGGGAGAAAAAAAGCAGGGAGGTATGAGGATTTAGAAGGATTTTGTTGAAGGTAAAAATTGAAGAATAATTCCATTTGGCTAACTAAGGTATTCCTTGAGGTATTGATAAGCAAATTAGTAATGCAATCGAGAATTATAGGTAAGGAATGGAACTGACTGACAATTGCAATTGCTAAGGAGCAGAAGAATTTTTGTTGACTGATTTATTTTAAACGACAAATTTTTCTGATTTATTTTAAACGTCAAAAACCCTTTTTTACTATTATTTTTAAGAAATAAAGCAGACGGATGGAGAAAAAGGGGCGAAAAGTTCAATGTCCTTAGAACTATTTGATTCGCTAACCGATGCTATAATACTTATGCAAAGCAGGTTTTTTCGATGAAAACCAGAAGGTGAAATATTGTTAAGGGCGGAGATGATGATGAATAATTTTGGCATGATAGAAAGTATAGGTAGGTGAAAATGTTACTGATGTCACCTAGAATAAAATGAAAATTAATCTTAGCATGCTTGATAATCTATCCCTTTTTGAAACTAAGCAATTAATTAGTCTATTTTTAACATGTTAGAATATAGTAGCTATTTAATTACTTGATTTCATGAGGAATGATTTTCAGTAACAAAGTTGAGTAAAAAGAGATACATGTTTATGTGCAAAATTTTTAACAACCATTAATTTCATCATGTCAAAAAAAAATCTCCCTATCCTTATTAGTATTAACCTATGTTTTATAATTGTTCGTTTTATGCGATCAGCAATCTGCACATACAGTAACCGAACAACAATTACATTTTCTTTTAACTATTTCCTTGCTCTTTTTATATTTTAATATTTTTCACTTAGAATTTTTCAGAAATATCAAACTTAAGGTTTCGGCACAAATTTTATATTAAATTTAAGCTTAAATTGCTCAGATAGAATTTTGTTTTGATTATATTAAAACTATACCCTGTAGCTTAACATTAAAAAAAGAAAATTATTTCTTTAGTTTATTTAAACTTGAATTGAATATTTCGGCTTTCACGCTTATTATATCTGGATCTAAGCTTACTACACTTTAATCTATGTTTATTTGCATAATATTTCATATCTTGTCTGTATTCTATGCTGTTTAAAATTATTCCTGTAAAAAATTATTTTTGCTGTTTTATTATTACACAATTTCAATATCATTTCGATATATCATTTCGATTGCACGGATTATTCCTTATGATTCTGATTTTATTTGCAGTAAGTTCAAAATTAATTAGCTGAAAAGTATTCATAAGTGAAATTCAGTGAAATATAAATCGGATTTTAATAGCTATCAGAATAACTGTTTCGGTCGATAACAGAACTTTGATGATTTCATCAGTTAGTTTTTCGTCTTTTTTTTCTGTTGCTCGAAGTGATGACAAATGGAAAAAATTACTGTCGAATGCTAAAGGAAAGGAAGTGAATGTGAGAAGTGAAAGAATTGAACAGCAAAGTTCAAAAATAGTGGAATAATCATTTAAGCAAATTTAAACAACTCTTTCTTTCTTCCTCCATTACATCTTTATTTTAAATTGTTACATTATTTAATAGTGAAACAGGTCTTAGTGTACTATTAGAATTAGTGGTACTCGATGATTGGTTTCATATAAATTTATGTGTAATGATTGTAAAGAAATGAAAGAGAGAAATTTAAAATGGTAGTTTTGATTCCACCTAGCTCAACCAATTGAATTCCATAAAAAATCAAAAATTGTCAATCATGTTTATTGCGCATATCAACAAATTATTTCAAATTACTCTATCCCAAATAACTTGAAAAAATAGCAGCGTGGGAAAATTATTATTTATTACAATGAAAACAAGAAGTTTAAATCAAATTTGCATTTTTTTCTCATTTTGAAAAAGGAAAACGCTACTTTTTTTGAAAAAAAATATAAAAGTAGCAAAATTTTGATAAATTTTGGACATAATAAAAGCACGAATAATGAATCATTTTGGATTCTGTTAGCCTAATTTGTGATTTTGTCAAATTATCGATCAATTGAATTGATCGTGATTGAGAAAATTTTCCATATGCTGTAGTAGATTTATATTTAAAATTTGAATCAGTTCAAATTTAATAAGATAATTAGCATTGTTGAATCAGATATGTATGACATCTGTTCATTTTTTTAGGGGACCAAAATTTTATTTATTCAATATTTGCTAATTCTTTGAGTAAGTATTGTAGATTCTATCCATAATAACTTTATACAGCTTGTTGATATAGCTGTCTTCAATATTGCTGAGAATGAGTGAGTGTGAAATAAAACAGGTAAAAAAAAAATGAGAAAAGGGACGAAGAAAGATTACTGTTTCGTAAAGTATAAAATTGTTGACGTCACCGAAAAAATTCGACTGGTTTTTTTTTGAGAATGTTGTTTCCCAATCTTTAAAATCTTTCGAAATTGATATTAAAAGTTTAAGGTACTCTCCACGATCACTATAACTGAACCTATCTAATTGAAGATTTTCCATTTCATTTCAAATTATTTTCTTGAAAGCCAATAAAAAAATATATGCATACATGATTAATTGATGCAAAAAATCATATTCAATTTCAAAATTTTCTTCATTTTCAAAAAAGCAATAACAAGTATTAAATGACACGTTAAGATGATGAGATCATCGTAGAAAACTTTCCGATCGCATGATAAATCTTTAGAAGTATAATATGAAAGCTCGTATTCTCGAGAAAATTTCATAAATTATCTGTTGCCGATAATCATTTTCAATTGTCGCGAACAAATTTTATTGAATTCATTTCCAATGAAAAGCAATTATTATTTCTCGCATCGTTTGCTGTGCAAATTTGCCTTTTGTTAGCTCGTAACCTATTTGCTCCATCATTTACGGTAATGCATTGAGTTTTTAGGATGGCTTTTTCTTGCAAGTGAAAAAAACATCGAAAAACAACAGTAAGCATCCATACCTGTAATTAAAAATTGTGAATTTTCATTTCAAAATTAGCTAGTCTTTATTTTTTCTAAAGCATAATTTAGCATTTTTATTTAATAACTATTGCTTCATTCCATTCATTATTTCTGGGATGATTTGTGCTTCGTTGTTAAAATTTTTTAATTTGGAAAGAATTATCAAAAGAAAAGGAGTAACCTGTAATAAACCGAGTAAAAGTAGAAATATACAACTGAATGATAAGATCAAAGCAAGAATTTTTGATATATAAATTAGTTCATAGGTTGACTTGCTCGACATGCTCAATGTCAAATCACCAGCGGTACTATCTTCTGCATTAACAATCCTGAAATTTAAATGAGAATTTTGTTCACAACTAAATAAGACTTTTTTTAAGTTTTTTTTTCCTTTTAAATTGTGAATGCATCATTAATTTGGATTTGAATAAATGTCAATATCTCATTTGTAAATTCCATCTATGTAATTTCTAAAATTAAAAAATGGTGTAATTTTTTGAATAAATGTCAATATAATGAGTTTTCTTTACTAAATAAAACTCAAATTTGGTTATTTGATGTGTATAAATTAATCTTGCGCATAAGGCGGTATTTGTAATATCAGATAAAATGATTTGAGGTGATAAAATTTTAAGCAAACTTTGATAATGATTATATAAAAAGAAAGGTCACACAAATGAGTGATTCCTTGAAAGCCTGATGTATAGCGTGTTTGACCTCTATTAAGATCAGAAAAAATCCTGGCAGGAAGTTTTGAACTTTGATGAAATATTCTCAGATACTGTCAGTTACTAAAGTTTATGAATGAGGAAATTTTTTGAAAACGAATGACACTTTTTTTTGACAGAAATTTCATCCGAAAGATGAATTCTGTACAAAATCAAATTGATGGTAATATAATTTAAAAAATTCCAACGACACTTTTTTTTGCTTTTCGTTTTTTTTTCAAATTTAACAAAAACATCTTACCTGAAATCCAAACTTGTTCCAGCAATGAGAGCAAATAAACAAAATAAACAAACAAGTGATAGCACACATATTGTTGTAACCTACAATTTTTTGAAAATTTGAAAATAAAATTTTGCAAAAAATATTTCAATTATTTCTCATGAAAAGTATCATATCACTGGAAAAATTATAAATGAACATCAAATTGAATTGATCAAAAAATTGCTATTTTCTATCCATTAATAACAATTTAAAGTAAACAAGACAGGTGTAATGGAACAGGTATAGGACAAACAAGTAATAGTTATATATGTTAGTAAATACTAATGTTAGTAAATACTACTTACTCCTACTTTATAGCTTATCAGCAAATCATCGGCAAATATTATCATAACAATATAGAAAATGAATTAATGATTTATCTATAAATTATTATAAATCTGTAG